CTTCAGATAATATAGTTCCCAGTATTTATACGGTTAAAATATGTCTGTGTCTCATGTGACTTTGTTTTTTGTACACTCTGTGACTATACAAATCGCAACATGTAAATAGGAAAATGTTTCCGTTATTTTGTCACTTATTTGGATTAGTATGCTAGCTGCAACCATTTACATCCAGTCTTTGTGCTAAGCTAGGCTAGCGGTGGGTGCGTCAAACAGACTTATGGCACGCACGGAGATGAAAAAGGTATGTATGGACTTATCTAACTCTGGGGGATAAGGTGAATAGGCTAAAGTCCCAAAAAGTCGTAGTGTTCCTTTAAACAGTTTTTCACCATTGCTATTTTCCGGATTTTATGGGCGGGGCTAAAACAGGGCTCGATGACGCACTGGAGCCCTTGAGCTCCTGGACACGCCCCCACTTGATGACGCACTGGAGCCCCTGAGGCTGGCCGCTCCTAACAATATCTAGAGCAGATTCTAGAGCAGATTCACATCAGTGTGCCGCTCAATCGCGAGTTACTGTCAGTACTATTATTAGTAACACAGCCTACAGATTGCTAGCTACTAGCTATGCCTTCGTCACGGAAATGCGTAGGCCTACTACCTGGATGCGATCACCGGATCACGTACAAAACAGATCGGTGTCCTTGTTTAAATTTCCGAAAAACGATTACATCAAGAAGAAGTGGATTAATTTTGTGAAGAGCCACCTTGATGGAGAGCTGAGGATCACCGCCAAAACCCGCCTCTGTAAGTGATCATTTTACACGGGATAGTTTTATAAACTTTCGTCGGAGATAACTGTCTGGGATTCACTGATAATCCGCTGTCACTGGTGAATGGGGCCGAACCGACTCCCGCCTCAGCCTTCATCCTCCCGTCGCGCCGACAACTGGTGCCATCATCGGCAGTGCGTGCCCACCGTGCGAGCATCCATTCCGGCTGTAGAGTTGAGTGTGGCGAGTCGACGGCAGCTTTCCCGCGAGTGGGCGTGGTTTCAGCGCAGCCAGTGGACACGCCCCCAGCGTTTGAGAGCAGATTACTGCTCATATTTTCAAGATTTTGATAGCTTATTTTATGTACTTGCTGACTTTTTTTATCATTCAAATTTGGCTGGGTGACTAATAACAAATTTTTCTGTGGTGTGACAAACTCAAAACACAAGTTTTGACTTTACAGGGACTTTAATTACTCACCCTCATGTTGTTCCAACCCCGTAAGACCTTTGTTCATCTTCGGAACACAAATGAAGATATTTTTGATTAAATTTGAGACCTGGATCACTCCTCCATAGGCTTCCTAAGGGAGTGAAACTTGACGGCCCAGAAAGTCATTGAAGAAAATGTTTAAATAGTCCAAGTGACTACAGTGGCTCAACTATAAGTTTATCAAGCGACGAGAATACTTTTTGTGCGGAAAAAACAAAACAAAAATAACGACTTTATTCGACTATTCCTTTTCCTTCTTTGTGGGCCTGAGACGAGAGGTCAAGAGATTTCCACGACGCATGCGCGAGAACTGAACAAGAAGTAGTAGAAGAAGAACGTCCTCTTCTCAGTTCTCGCGCATGCGTCGTGGAAATCTCTTGAACTCTCGTCTCAGGACCACAAGGAAGAAAAGGAATAGTCGAATAAAGTCGTTATTTTTGTTTGTTTTTCCGCACAAAAAGTATTCTCGTCGCTTGATAAACTTATAGTTGAGCCACTGTAGTCACATGGAATATTTAAACATTTTTTTCAATGACTTTCTGGGCCGTCAAGTTTCACTCCCTTAGGAAGCCTATGTAGCAGTGATCCAGCTCTCAAATTTAATCGAAAATATCTTCATTTGTGTTCTGAAGATGAACGAAGGTCTTACGGGGTTGGAACAACATGAGGGTGAGTAATTAATGACTTAATTTTCATTTTTGGGTGAACTATCCCTTTAAGAACCTTTAGGTCATTTCACAGTTACAAACAATACTTAAGAAATATTTGTAGACATTGGGGGCACTGGCCAATAACATTCCACTAGAACAAGGTAGCGACTGCAACTTTCGCAGTTCATTGATTTCGTTTCCTTCCAGTACCTCAACCAGCTGAATTCTCGCAGCCAGTCTTCCCGAAAATGGTGGGTTCGGACCTTTTTCGCCACACAAACCTCTGACTCTGAATCACCATCCGACTGTGATACTGTAGACTCTGGCACTCGCCGCAGGTCAGAAGAACGAGTCGATACGATAGATCGCTTGCTCATTGCTCAGACGCACAAAGCAGGTTGTGATTTTTGTCTCCGTCTCCTTCCCACAGACGTTTACGCGCGCTCGATTATCTCTAGGACCCTCCCCCTCCACACATTATCCACTTACAGTGGCCATTCCCTATTCTTGTCACACTCATTGGCCTCCCACTCATTCCGGATTCACGTTTAATGTGTAAAAAAAAGGGGCAAATTTACTGGTCGCACATGTGCGATTGACTGGATGTAATATTCTGTCCCACACTCTCAAATTTTGGTCGCAGTCTGGAGCCCTGTTTTATTAAATCTGAGAGCCGTCTCACTCCTCCATAGGCTTCTATTGTAATTGAAACCTGCCGGCCCAGAAAAGTTAGTAAAAACATAGTTAAAATAGGCTAGTCCAAGTGACTACAGTGGCTCTACCCTAAGTTTTTTAAGCGACGACGAGAATACTTTTTGTGTGCAAAAAACCCCCAAAATAACGACTTTATTCAACTATTCATTTTCTTCTATGTGGGCCTCTGAGTGAGTTCACGTAGTGTAACAGCGCAGCGCTACGTCAGAACGTAGGCTCACTATTGGCCAGTATCACACTCATGACCAGCGTCGGCCAATAGTGAGCCTACGTTCTGACGTAGCGCTGCGCTGTTACACTACGTGAACTCACTCAGAGACCCATAGAAGAAAATGAATAGTTGAATAAAGTCGTCGTTATTTTTGTTGTTTTTTTCGCACAAAAAGCATTCTCGTCGCTTGATAAACTTAAGGTGAAGCCACTTTAGTCACTTGGCCTATTTTAACGATGTTTTTACTAACTTTCCGGGCCGGCAGGTTTCAATTACAATAGAAGCCTATGGAGGAGTGAGACAGCTCTCAGATTTAATAAAAAATATCTTAATTTGTGTTCCGAAGATGAACGAAAGTCTTACGGGGTTGGAACAACATGAGGGTGAGTAATTACTGGCAGAATTTTCATTTTTGGGTGAACTAACCCTTTAATTACATCTACACACATAAAGAAGATGTCCCGGCTAGTAAGTTATATTGATGACTTTTTCCGGTGAAATCTGTGATTCCAAATGACAGTATCCACTGACTGTGACTGACAGCCGCACATTCTCCTCAAAACATTGGATTCATCCGGGCTGTGCTGTGCTGTGCCGAGGCACAACCCACGTAAAGTTGATAATTCCACGAATGACTGCAATTGCATATTTCGAACAGAGATGGCGACAAAGAGGAAAAACTACAGACTGCAGCTTTAAAAATACATTAATAAATATGATTAAAATATTTTAAATGATTATTTAATAATTTAATATTTTCATAAAACATACAATAAAATATAATAAATAAAATAAATTTAAAATAAGAAAGGATTCAACTGCATGTGCCACTGTGTTTAGGTAACACATTGTTACCATATTGGGAATTCTTAGCAACTTTTGCACTTTTTCATTCCACTTATGTTGAGATTCAAGATTGCAACCTTCAGATGACTTACTTTACTAATTTCTGTCTGCTTGCATTCTGAGCCTTTTTAGTTATTATCCAATAGCTTGCAGCTACAAAAATGTAGAACTTAATATAAATTATATGTAAAATACATTAATAAATATTATAAAAAGTGAAATAAATCAATATAAATAATATGTAACATATTTTACCATTTTTATTTAAATGTTTTTTTTAGTTAAATGTTATTATTTTAATTTTTATTTGAACTTAATACAAATTATATGAAAATATTATGCCAATGAACATTATAAATAAATAAAAAATGAATCAGTTATGATTTATATTTTTATATTAGCCTATATTTTATATTTCAAATACAAATTTCACTGATGTTGAGATTCACCGATGTTGGACCTTAAAGGAACACTCCGACTTTTTGGGACTTTAGCCTATTCACCTTATCCCCCAGAGTTAGATAAGTCCATACATACCTTTTTCATCTCCGTGCGTGCTATAAGTCTGTTTGACGAACCCACCGCTAGCCTAGCTTAGCACAAAGACTGGATGTAAATGGTTGCAGCTAGCATTACTGCTCCAAATAAGTGACAAAATAATGGAAACATTTTCCTATTTACATGTTGTGATTTGTATAGTCACAGAGTGTACAAAAAACAAAGTCACATGAGACACAGACATATTTTAACCGTATACATACTGGGAACTATATTATCTGAAGGCGAAGCACTGCTACTCGGGCGGAGTGATAACCGCAGCACCTGAGACACGCTCTCTGCTCCTCACCACGGCTCGTCTCAGGTGCTGCGGTTATCACTCCGCCCGAGTAGCAGTGCTTCGCCTTCAGATAATATAGTTCCCAGTATGTATACGGTTAAAATATGTCTGTGTCTCATGTGACTTTGTTTTTTGTACACTCTGTGACTATACAAATCACAACATGTAAATAGGAAAATGTTTCCGTTATTTTGTCACTTATTTGGATTAGTATGCTAGCTGCAACCATTAACATCCAGTCTTTGTGCTAAGCTAGGCTAGCGGTGGGTGCGTCAAACAGACTTATAGCACGCACGGAGATGAAAAAGGTATGTATGGACTTATCTAACTCTGGGGGATAAGGTGAATAGGCTAAAGTCCCAAAAAGTCGGAGTGTTCCTTTAAGCACAAACTCCATGACTTACCGTGATCAAATCCTTCTGCTTGCATTTTCTGGGTGAGCCTTTCTAGTTACTATCCAATATGGCAGATTGCAGCCAAAAATACCAGCATTACCTGATGGATCATTGAGTAGGACTGCAATGTCATCTTACCTGCTGTCTGGATTTGTGAAGTATTTGCTCTTCAGCTTATGTGAAAAACTGCCAGATCCATATCAGCTCAGCATCTAAGTTAGGGCAGTAGTGGCCAAACAGCAACATTTTGGACTTGTCAGTCAAAGTGTCTGTACTTTAAATCCCAGAGGTGCTGAGGAATCAGACAACAATTAAAGAGTCATTGAGGTTACAAAATTGTTGACGCACTGCTCACCGTCCAAACAAAGCATTTATGTTTATTGTATCTGATATGTTGTGTATGCAGTCTGTCTGTTCATTTGTAAATGCATTATAATAAATGACAAACAACAATTACTGTTACAAAAATATTCAGAAATGTGAGTACTGCACTTGTCTATTAAGTCCAGCAGAGTGCAGTATGGGCTCATTTCTGTTAGACTAACAGACTGCTGACTCACTGGAAAATCCAGCCCAAGACCAGACAGGTGCTTCTGCATGCAAACTCACCTTCAGAGGGAAAGCCCAAGCTCTTATTTATTTATTATCATCGCGTCTCCCTCCTTTTCTCTCTCTGTTTTATATATCGTTAGTTGCCTTAGGAAATGTCTGATGTATGCAGCTTTAAGGATGAATGAAAAAATACATGTAGAGGTCATTCCTTACCCCACTCGGACCCACATGTGTCTATTCACTTTTCTCTGTGTATTTTAATTAGTTTTTGTCATTTAATCCCAGCTAACCATATTTGGTTCCAAGAACTTTCTGGGAACCAAATATGGTTAGCTGGGATTAAGGTTAGCTTTGTTTTTGTTAGCCAAAGGTTTCGTGACAGAATTTAAAAAAAAAATTTTTTAGGTTTGCAGAACGTTCCCCTTCCCATAATGTTCACAATCTTAAAGGATTATTATGCAGGTAAGTCAGTCTATTATTAGTATTATTTCACACATCATTTCTTTTGACTGATAATATTAATGATAATGATAAAGGAAACGGACAAATTCACACAAAATTGTGTCAAAAATGCCATTATTATTCTAGTAAACATAATCAGTTATGGCTTAAGAACGTAAACAGAGAAAAACAACACGTGTGTCAGTGCATCAGGCTAAAGTGACAGCAGCCTAAAATTTATGCTGATGTCTGTGTTTTTGATGATAATCAAACAACAAAGGACAAAGAAAAAAATCACTGAATAACTGAACTGAATAACTTTAGTTAATCTATGTTTAATTTATACAGTGAAGACTATGTTATTTTACATTTGATTACTTTATTTAAAACTACTGTTATTGTAACTTTTAATGTTATCTATATTCATCAACATTTTCAACATTTATATTATGTCTACAGTAGGCTATATATATATAATTATAAAAAATATTTGTAATGTTACTTTTAATGTTATCTATATTCATCAACATGTTCAACATTTATATTATACAGTATATAGGCCTACAGTAGGCTGTATATATATATATATATATATATATATATATAATTATAAAACATTATTTTGATATATTCAGAAATGTAATTATATACAGTATATATATATATATATATATATATATATATATATATATAATTACATTTCTGAATATATCAAAATACATTTTTATAACAGTCTAATTATTTTACATTTTATTGTTGAATGTTGAATTAAATAATTAAAACCAGTGTCCATTGTAACACCAGGAATAATTCAACCTCATTAAACAACAGTTGATTAAACAACAGTTAGATTACAGATGAATATTACATTTTTTGGCGTCTATTTTTTGGCGTCGAGCGTGACATCACACAGCTGCATGGTCTTTCGTCCAATCACAGGCAGGTAAACAGCGCCTAGTTTCGCCTGGTGTCAGCAGCAGCCCTCCCGGTCTTAACTCTGCAGACGGGGCAGGTGGCAGTAGTTGTCATGGAGATAACTGCGGGCCTGGCGTCGGCTCCAGGGGTTGTTTCCATGGAGATCCCGCCCCGAGGACGAGGTGCGCTTGCAGCGGTGGAGGAGGACGAGGACCGCGAGCAGTTTCAGCATCCCCGCCGCCGCGACCCGACCTCACGCCAGGGAAACTTTTACATGCTCATCGTGATCGGTGAGATCGCGACAGAGCATCAGCTGCACGCCGCCAGACAGCACATAGAGCGCGGTGAGCCTCTGTTATTGAAAGCATGCCTCTTCTGACACTAAATATGCCTAATATATTTTTCTTTCAGAATTTAAAACACGTTTAAATATGTACTCAGAGAGAATTATGCCAGATAACGAGTAGGCTTATGCATCCTTGTATTTATATTAATTCATTATGGGATATTGTCCAAAATAAATCTGAGAAATGTCTTGCATAGGCCTACTTCATTTAACTTGATTTAAATGAAGTTTACAGCTTTAGACTGCATACTTTGCTGCGGTGGGCGTGTTCATTTAATCATGGACGTTTCTTCAGTCTGACGCTGCAAATGCCTACTTCCAAATCATTCCCAAAGATATAATTTGTTTAATGGAGCATCATTAAGGACATCTCTTGTCTTCTGTACTTCCTCTGAGGGATATAATATCCGATGGGACCATTATTGCATAGTAAGATCAGCACACTGCGGCGACCTCGCGTGACTGCACTGAGCACTGCGCCATGAATTGTGCATTTTTAGATGAAATTGATGAAGCTGCGGTTTTTAGGGTCGGGGATCTCATGATATTATTGCTGTTTCAAATGTTGTTTATTTAGCAGTATATTTTTGGGCACGTGTTTAAACTTACTATAGGGCTGTGATTAATATGACAGCAGATGTTGATTATCTTTTCAAGTATAAACGAGTCAATGAAAAGGTGCACAGCCTATTTATTCAATAGAATCATCTTCATGAACATTTGTGAAACGGGACCACAAAACCAGTCACATGGGTCTTTTTTTTTTAAATTGAAGTTGAATTTATACATCAAAGCTGAATATAAGCTTTCCATTTATGTATGGTTTGTTAGGATAGGTCGGACAATATTTGGCCAAGATACAACTATTTGAAAATCTGGAATCTGAGGGTACAAAAAAATCTAAACATTGAGAAAGTTGCCTTTAAAGTTATCCATTTATGTTCGCGATTGTGCTGCATTCACTCACAAAAATTAATGTTTTATATATTTTACGAAATATCTTCATGGAACATGATCTTTACTTAATATCCTAATGATTTTTGGCATAAAAGAAAAATCTATAATTTTGACCCATACAATGTATTGTTGGCTATTGCCACTAATATACCCGTGCTACTTGTGACTGGTTTTGTGTTCAGGGTCACGTTTAAGCTTGTGTATAATGAACAGTTTGAAAATTGTAGCCCTTTAGCTCTTGTTATATGATATAGGCTAGATATAGAATTTTCATTGCAATTAAAACACTGTATTATTGTAGAATTCTTAAAACATATTTGTTTCCAACCTTTTAGGTTCTCACAGGAATTTCCATCATTTTGGCATGATTTAATGTTTTTCAACTCTGATTTATTCATCTGTACATTCAAAGTGGCCAAAAATCATTAGTACTTTGATTTAAAATCAGCAAATGAATGTAACATTTCAATTTTAGTGTGTTGAATTTTTTTCACTGTGCACATATCATGTAACTATAGTTTACAGAAAATACATCAAATTTAAAAGTACAAAGTTAAGTGTTTTCATCATATGGCAGAACTCATCTACTGTTTGCTGTTCTTTTTAAAAAAAAATTATCGTTGCTTTAGTACTCTAAAATATGTTTATATGGTATTTTTTGTTGTCATAAAAATTTGGCTTTGCTAAATTACTAGCTAGTACTACTACAAACCTGAGGAACCTGCCTGTGGGCCTATTGGTTAGAGAGTCAGGCTAATAACCCTAAGGTTGCAGGTTCGATTCTCAATACTGACAGGAAATGACCGAGGTGCCCTTGAGGAAGGCACCTAACCCCTAATCGCTCCCCGGGCGCCACAGCAAAAATGCTCTGGGTGTGTGTGTCCACGGTTTGCAGTGTGTTTGTGTGTGTGTTCACTACTCACTACTCCTAATGTGTCTGTACTAACTTGGATGGTTTAAATGGCTGAGGACAAATTCCCAGTATGAGTTTAAATACTTGGCCTTTACATGTCAAAAAAAAAAAAAAAAAGAAGAAGAAGAAGAAAAGAAACAACCAAATTCAAACACAATATTTAGGGTCAAATGGTAGACTTGTTACATTCAGTACATTTACAATCGTGCAGCATTCTCTAATGTTTGGACATTTAGAAACCTCCCATTCTTCCTGACAGACATTTAATAAGCAATTAGCATATCGATGAGAATAAAATCAATACTATAAGGAATGCTGTGTTTCTATAGACTGTGTAAATCTTATTCTGGGAAAATAGAAGTATCCGTTCATCTCTGCGGTCATTACCTGTTTTAAATCCCAAATGACACAGCATTTCTGAGGACAAACACTGCAGTGTTTGCAACATTTACACTTCATCTACAAAGCAAAATAGAATCTGAGGGAAACAGCTCTTCATCTGTATGAAGAAGAGATGATGAAGGACACAGCCGAGGAGAGTTAAGAGTCATAGAGTTCATTTCATTCCCTAATTCTCCAATTTACACTTTGAAGTTCAGCACAGTTGGAGCTTAAGAGACTAGAGCATCTGAACTTTTGGGATCTTAGGCTATGTAATCCTCGATGAATATTCTGAGCATAACACACTGAATCTCATGTGAAGAACTATATGGCAGATCTGAAAATACAGGGTCGAAATATCGAATTTAAACTTATGAGAAATAAGAAGAATAAGAAGAAACTGGATAAATTAATTTAAATATTTGAATGATTAATATTACAAGTAGATTATTAATATTAGAAATATAATAAAAAATAAAATGCAGATTCATTTTTGAACAAATGATATAATATATCATATTAAGTAATATAAAATATTAAGTAATGTAATAGTTTGTAATGAATAAAATGGAATGATATACATACGAAAATTTAAGGAAATCTATTTGAATTTTTCAACACAAATTGTTATAATAATATAAAATAATAATAATGAATTGTAAAAGAAAGAAGGATGATATATGAAAGAAAGATGCCAAATGAGGGTGTGGATGATAATTGCATACACATGTAGCTAATCTTTAAGTGCTGTGCTCATATTAATCATGTCACATTTCTCTCTGTACCTGCAGGTATCCGATCCTGGGACATCAATGTGTCAGAATGTGACCTGGACCAACAACTACAGCTTTTCATAACCAGACATTCCGCCCAGTTCTCAGCCGAGGTCAGAGGTCAGTTCGATTGAAAGGGTGACATCTAGATCCTGCAGCAGTGTTGAATGCAAATTAAGTCAGAAGTATACCGTATATATTAAGATAAACTGTATAAAAAGATAAAGCTCAAAGCTAAATGAACAATTACATGATTACATACATTTCTTTTCATTTATTAATGCCACACATAAATAAATATTTTCAATGAAAAGTTGGGAATCAAGCTATTGATTCACATACTGCCAGCCCAAGGTCACACTGCAGTGTTCTTGCTTACAGCAAGCTCACAGATAGCATGCACAACATGCAGCCAATCAGCATGTGTGTTTGCACGGGTGCTGCCTGGCACAGTGCTAATCAAAGAGCTGTGTCAGGAGGAGAGGAGCTGCAGAGCCCTGCTTGACTGCTGCAGTGTGTGTGTGTGTGGGGTGGGACGGGACGGGGCTTGAGCTGAGGCACAATCGGTTTCAGTATAAAAGTGATAAAAGGCTAGCATGCTATTCATTTCCTAACTGCTGAGAAAGTGCTTTAGTAACCATTTTTAAACCTTAAGCTGCTGTTGATGGGGTGAATTATAAAGTACCTGGAGACAGATTAATGTAAATGGCTATAATTTGGTAATCACGCGACTAATAGTGCTTTTATTTTCAGAATATATAGGCACTTGACCGTAACCACATAATCACAGTCAATATTGAATAAATGATAATCAGAGTGTGCTGCAGGAATTATGTTTTTCTGTAGGCCAAAACCAGGAAACTAGTTTTAGCACTTCTGGTTCCATCATCCAGAAGTCAATGTTTTTTTTAAATGTTTTTTTAGGGTGCTTTCACACCTGAGCGTTTGTTTCGGAACCTGGTGCGTTTTCTCCCTTGGTTGGGTTTGTTTAGGTATATGTGAACACGGCAATCGCGCTCATATCCGCACCAAAACAATCGCTTCGAGACTGCCTGAACATGCCGGTCTCGGGCCGATTGCAAACGAACTCTGGGGCGGTTCGCTTGAGGTGTGAAAGCAATCCGACCCAACGGACCAATTCATAACGGGAAATGTACTATATAAATAGCAGTAGTGTCTGATTCTGTGAGTGAGTACATTAGTTATCACAGTTGAAAACCAAAAGAGCACCTCTTCATCTTAGAATGTTGTGCAATTGCGCTTCTCCGTGCAATAATGCTGTCCCGATGAAGCCTTGTTTCCTGCTCTAGCTGCATTATAACATTCGTATAGTGTTTGCGTGTGTCTTGACACTGTTAACCTCTAGACAGCGCTGGGAAATCCAGAGAGAGCGCGCGTTTGAATTTGCTGCAGTATTAATACGAATGTAGTATATAATTTAACAGCGGGAATGACGGCTACATTCGTATAGTGTTTGCGTGTGTCTCGACAGTTACAAACAAAGCCACAATAAGCTCATGGAGCGAACTTGTCAATCATCTTGATGGATGACGAAGAGGAAATGCTGACCAATAAGAGGACAGTTTCTCGGCATGTAACTTGCGCGAACACATTTTGGTACGCTTTAAAGGTTGCCTTGTAAAAGCGAACCAAACCAAGAAGAAAATGCAACATTGTAACAAATTAAATCCCTGTTTCGGAACAAAACAAACGATCTATAGGTGTTAAAACGCTCATGTTAAATGTCTGAAAAAAAGCTCTAGAGATGTTTGAAATGAAGCCACAAAAGAACTGCTGCGCTTCTCCTATAGCAACACACATTCATTCCTGAATGAATGTGGTTTTGAATGAATCAGTTGAGTGTATAATTCAATGACTTGCTCATACAGACTGGTTTTGTTCCTATATGAATCAGTGTTTGAACGAATCGCTTGAAAGAAAAATTCTACGACTCACTCACAAAGACAGTGTCCGCATTCGAAACCGCATACTTCCCTACTATATATTAGGCGAAAAAATGCGACAAAAGAAGTATGTCCGAATTCATGGTACTCATAAAAGAGTAGGTAAAAAAAGTACCGGGATGACCTACTTCTTCCGGCTAAATTCTGAAGTGTGCATACGATGGACACTTTACTATCCCATGAGGCCACGGGAGAGGATTTATGAATGGCAGTGAAGCATAACTGACGCTGGTAGGTCACATGATAATGACAACACAACGAATGTAGTACGTCCAGATTACATTCATACTACACACACTCATACTATACAGAAGAACATACTTTTTTAGCAGTCGTGGAGTAAGAACTTATTCTAAATAGGTACCTACTCAAGAGAGTATGCGATTTCGGACGCAGCCACAGACTTGTTTTGTTCCTGAATGAATCTGTGTTTGAACAAATAGCTTGAAAGAATGATTCCGTGATTCAAACACAAAGACAGTCACTTTTTGCCCCCTTTTCTGTGATAATTTTGCAATGTGTTTTTTAAGTTGTTCTGAATTTTTCAAAAATCATAAATCTGACCGTCTAGAATAGGAATAGCACACTTCTCCTTAAGCTACACTATCTGAGGTAGATACACGTCTGTAGCACAGTATGTGAACTATGTGCCGAAGTGTATTGCTTACTAGGGTTAGAACAAAAGAGCACCACTAATAAACTGCAATGCCAAAAAATGATCAAATGGCGCTTGGGAGGTGGAGAGACGCCCTCTGACCCTGCTGAAGGGCACAATGTGTGCTTAGATTAGATTGTGATGACTGGTCTGTGGGGTGATACAAGGTTAACAGCCACTAAAGGTTGATGTCTCAGATTGTGCTTTTCTGTGGCTCAAGGCCTGTCAGACACAAGGCTCCTGGGTTGATGGTTCAAATGAGACCACAGTATTGATTGTACCCTATCATATTCAGCATGCACCTTAGCATAGATCAATTACATTCAAGCTAATGGGAATTCAGTGGCTGTCCTACGGCACAAATAGATTTGTTTCTATTCTGATTGGTAACAAAATGGAAAATAAAGTATTGGCTAAATTAATTGCTTTGTCTAGGACTGATGGATATTTTGCTAAAAATGTTTGGCCATATAAGCACTTGAAGTTGAATTAAGGATATACTGCATGTTTTTTTTATTTTTATTTTATTGTGTTCTCAGTCCTTTCCCATCCTGTTCATAAATATAAAATGATGAGCTGCTGCCATCTAATGGATATTGTAAGTAATGGAGAACAGATTATACACACAGACGCACACACACACACACACACACACACACACACACACACACACACACACACACACACACACACACACACACACACACACACACACATAAAAGCAACTGTTTTCAACATTGATAATAATAAGAAATGTTTCCCGAGCACCAAATCATCATATTAGAATGATTTCTGAAGGATGGGTAGTAATGCTGTAGTAATGATGCTGAAAATTCAGCTTTGCATCACATGAATAAATTAAATGTTAAAATATATTCAAATAGAAACCCGTTATTTTAATAATAGTTCACAATATTCTTGTTTTACTGTATTTTTAATCACATAAATGCATCTTTTGTGAGCATATGAGACTTCTTTCAAAAACATTAAAAAATCTTATCGACCCCAAACTTTTGCACAGTAGTGTATATTTTTTTAAATCATAAAATCACATTTAAATTCTCATAAGAGTGAATTTTAAATCACTTCATTCACTCTGGCTTTAGCAAATGTTGCGATTTTTCTTATAACACTTATAACATGACAAAAATGGCAATTTATTAAGAAATTGTCTTGGTTCCCTAATGACATCATCAACCAGGAAGTGACGTCTATATTGATTGACGAACAACAGCACAAACATCAGCACAAAGTTCATCAAGTTTATCTTGTACAGAAATTGTATGTTTTTCAAATGTAAAAAATTGTTTAAAAAGTGAATTAACTGTATATTCCTCACAATGACTAACTTTATATATTTATACACACACACACACACACACACACACACACACACACACACACACACACACACACACACACACACACACACACACACACACACACACATACCTTTGGTTTTAAGTGTCCGAGCTTGACCAGAGCATATTATTAAATTGTGTTATGCCTTTTTTAATACTTTCCTTACAACACAAGCATATCATATTTTAAAGGTTGTAGAGTTTAAAAGGTGCCGCGTAACAGGACTGATCCCTTCAATGTCTCACAGAACCAAGGAAATGAGGCATCAACAATCTCCCAGATTATATAAAAGCGCAAACATCAGCAGGTATAACTTCAGTCCCTCGTCTCACAGCAGAAATGACCTCGATCAGTCAGAGCCACAGTGTCTTGAGGTTTAGCTTCTAAAACTGTGGCTGATGGGGAGGTTCAGAGCGAGGAAACGGCATGATCAGTGTTTTCATTTTTACTGAGTCACTCAACCTCCTCCTCTCTTCTTCTACTATGTTTCCATGGTGACCTGCATCTTGGCATGAGCCAAGGTGAGCGCCGATGTGAGGAGCTAATGAGTGCACTTTGTCAGGAGAGAAGTACTATATGCACACAATGAAAGCAATGACTCTTGTTCCCCTATTTATATAATGACACTATGGATTTATGATATCTAATGTATTCCGAGAAATGACATAATGGCCTACAGTAAAATTAAAGTAATTGTTTAGACTGTGATTTTTTTTAATGCCAGATTCTGCCATAATTGGTTTCAATTAAACTGTGACCATATCCCGCATTAACTGCTGACAGGCTCCATCCCCTCGAATATCCTATTATAGAGGCCAAATGAGACGTTTCAACCACCGTTATGCTCTATGAGTCAATGGTTAAGAAGACTGATTGTCTGCAGGCTGGAAAGTAATGGTCTGGAGAAGAATTTTCTGATATTTCTGGCCCGTCTTATTCCTGGAGAAAGCTGTCTGTTAGCGTTCCCATTCATCACAAAGACATAGTAGTGAAGTAACCAGCCGAACCTTGACCCCTCACCTTGTCTATCTCTTCTGCGAGTGCCCTGGTTAACAGCACCTAGCTGGCGCTATACCCATAATCTGGTGTCTGATTCTGTTATCAGGGATTTCTTTGCTAGTTTGTATGTCTCCTGTGAGTCGGAAACCCTCAAAGCAATACTTTACAACCCCAAACACTTAGAGTGTTATGCTTATGTTGCTTATGTAAAGTTTGCATGCATAGACAAAATCTTTACTTTCACGGTTTAAAAGGGGGTGGGAAAGAGTCATTTTCTGTAATGGTGTCACCGGGAGTGCAACAAGGACCTCAATGTACAAGTTTATGGTCCACATTTGACTCTTTCCTTTTCCTCCCAGGATACACACAAAGGAAATTGGTACAGTAGAGCTGAAAGCCTCAAGCTGGACCTATTTATAATACAAGCACTGAGCCATAATTATGAATTTCACTGATGCTGAGGGGGAAGTGAACGATCACATGACTTTCAGACAGACTGATAATTAAGGCCCTGAGCCAAAACTTCATACCTCTGAACATTTTTAAAGCACTTTTGAAGTAGGCTTATGTAACGGCTCAGGAAAGGGCTGCTGCTCTTGACACTAAAAAAAAAGAAAAAATCACACACATACATTGAGGTAAATAAATTCATCAAATATTATCCATCTCTGAAAATCAATTTATCCAGTTCTGGTCTGTATGACATTTGTAATCGCCAGACAAACACAATCCCCCTCAATTGTTTGGGCAATCTTCAGTGGGCTTTTGTTTTTGACTGATACAAAAGGCCAGTGAGACGTCCGTGGCTCCGCACAGGCACTGAAATGAGGAACAAAACAAACACTCAAGCTGATTAGACAGATTTTGACTATGCAGTCTTATTTAAAAAAATATTTTATATTATGAATGTCACCACGATCGTGTTTCAGAGGGGATTTCTTGTGAAAATGTTTACAGTGAGCTGACCTTAGAGAGGGCTGTCATACATTATAGATGAACAGTGAGCAGGGTACATTGGAAGAAAAAAAAACACTCAGAAGTTGGCGGACTTTCTCCGAATTCCTGCTTTGTTACTAACCTTGACTTTGGAAATAATCACTTGTTTTGGTTAATATAGAAGTGTGGAAAATAATTTCAGATTATATATCATACCCAGCTAGAAATTTTACGTTCCCAGAACGTTCTGAGAACGTCCCCGCTGGTGTCAAGGACGTTGCCTGGTAACGTTCCCACAACGTTCCCAGACAGACACGATGTGGAGTTCTTTAAAGGGTTTGGGGACGTTATTTGGAGGACCTTCAGGGAACATTCAGGATGTTCTGGGAACGTTTGGAGGACAATATTTAATTCAGAAATCCAATGTTCCCAGAACATTCTGAGAACGTCCCCGCTGGTGTCAAGGACGTCGCCTGGTAACGTTCCCAGACAGACACGATGTGGAGTTCTTTAAAGGGTTTGGGGACGTTATTTGGAGGACCTTCAGGGAACATTCAGGATGTTCTGGGAACGTTTAGAGGACAATATTTAATTCAGAAATCCAATGTTCCCAGAACATTCTGAGAACGTCCCCGCTGGTGTCAAGGACGCCGCCTGGTAACGTTCCCACAACTTTCCCAGACAGACACGATGTGGAGTTCTTTAAAGGGTTTGGGGACGTTATTTGGAGGACCTTCAGGGAACATTCAGGATGTTCTGGGAACGTTTAGAGGACAATATTTAATTCAGAAATCCAATGTTCCCAGAACATTCTGAGAACGTCCCCGCTGGTGTCAAGGACGCCGCCTGGTAACGTTCCCACAACGTTCCCAGACAGACACAATGTGGAGTTCTTTAAAGGGTTTGGGGACGTTATTTGGAGGACTTTCGGGGAACATTCAGGATGTTCTGGAAACGTTTAGAGGACAATATTTAATTTAGAAATCCAATGTTTCCAAAACATTCTGAGAACGTCCCGCTGGTGTCAGGAACGTCGCTTGGTAATTGTAATGATGCAGCGGACGAGGAGAGATCCATTTGCAGGTTTTATTAAATAACAGGGTCAGACAGGCAAGGGTCGAATACCAGGGATATAAGCAGAGCAGAATACACACAATCAGAGTCCAAGAACAGGCAAAGGGTCGGGGCAGGCGGCGAAACAATCAGAATACAGAGTCCAGGCAGAGAGTAAGGCAGGCAGCAGACAACGAGAGGTAAGGTCCAGATAAAGTCGTAACAGGTAAACAAACACAGGGTACAAACGCTCAGAATAGTTCACTGGGAAAGCAATACTTTGCACCGAGTGAATGTGAAAACCAGGTATTTATGGTGTGAGAGAAACAAGGTGATAAGACACAGGTGAATGAAATGAGTGCTGATGAATCCGGGCAGTGAGTTATGGGAAATGTAGTTTGTGAGGAAATGATCATAGTCTATTGTGGAGCGCCCTCTGGTGGCTCTCGAGGGCACTCCAGCTGATCGTTACAGTAATGTTCCTACAACGTTCACAGACAGTCACGATGTGGAGTTCTTTAAAGGGTTTGGGGACGTTATTTGGAGGACCTTCAGGGAACATTCAGGACGTTCTGGAAACGTTTAGAAGACCATATTTAATTCAGAAATCCAATGTTTCCAAAACATTCTGAGAACGTCCTGCAGAACTTTTAGGGACCAACTTAGAATATTATTTTTTTGTCCTATTAAGGTCTTCTGTTATATTTAAAGAATAAGAAGCTGATGCTTCTCCGCTTCAACCTGATTTGCAGGCTCTGTGTGTGTGTCAGGAGTTTTTTTTAATATACTGTGTACATTTTGCTGCCATTGTTGCTGAGCTTAAAACGTCTGCATTCTTGATTTTATAATAACAATTGTAAAAGACTGTTTTACATCAACGAGACAAATAGCGGGATCACCACAACTTTTTTCCCATGGAAAAGTGGTGTAGCCTTTACCAAATAATAGGAAAAAATGACAATAAAAGAAAAGAGACAAAAATAATACAAACATATTCTAAAGACCCTCGCATTGAACTTTATGCCGCTTAGATTTCGTGAGGAGACCCTGCAGGCTATGTAAACAAGAGTTAAAATAAGCAAATTGGAATAGGCCTAGCGCTTACGTTAGCTTGTTTATCTAAAAAAAAAAGCCAATATAGCCTGACCATCTACGCGAGAATGGTTCATTAAAATAACTTTACATGATAATCACATTGGCTTTTTCTGGCTCGCTGTCGGTGAAGAAAACAGGAAAAAGACCGCCGTCAGGTGTCCGTCCGAGAAGGGTCCAGCCCCCAGACAAACCAGATAAACGTGACAGAAGTTGACGGAAGTTGAACCTCGGTTCGTCCCACGTCACCGCGCACAAAACATGATGTATATGAGAATGTTCTCATTAAGTTAGTCACAAAACGTTCTCATATGGTCAACAGAGAACCATATGGGAACGTCCTTATTACGTCCTCTTTGTAATGTTGCTATGTGACCATAAAATAACCAATATGGAACGTTCCCCTAAAGTCACATAAAGAACGTCATTGTATGACCAACTTAGACCCATATGAGAACGTTTTGATTACATCCTCTTTGTAACGTTGTTGTGTGACCATAAGATTACCCTTACGGAACGTCCCCCTAAAGTCATATAAGGAGCGTTATAATATGACCAACTTAGAACCATATGCGAACGCTCTGATTATGTCCTCTTTGTAAAGTTGTTGTGTGACCATAAAATAACCAATATGGAATGTCGCCCTAAAGTCCTATAAGGGAGGTTATTTTTATGACCAACTTAGACCCATATGAGAATGTTCTCATTAAGTTAGTCACAAAACGTTCTCATATGGTCAACAGAGAATCAAATGGGAATGTCCTTATTCTGTCCCCTTTGTAATGTTGCTATGTGACCATAAAATAACCAATATGGAATGTTCCCCTAAAGTCACATAAAGAACATCATTGTATGACCAACTTAGACCCATATTAGAACGTTTTGATTACGTCCTATTTGTAACGTTGTTATGTGACCATAAGATTACCATTACGGAACGTCCCCCTAAAGTCCTATAAGGAACGTTATAATAGGACCAACTTAGACCCATATGAGAACGTTTTGATTACATCCTCTTTGTAACGTTGTTATGTGACCATAAGATTATCATTACGGAACGTCTCCCTAAAGTCCTATAAGGAACGTTATAATATGACCAACTTAGACCCATATGAGAACGTTTTGATTACGTCCTCTCTTTGTAACATTGTTATGTGACCATAAGATTACCATTACAGAACGTCTCCCTAAAGTAATTTAAGGAACGTTATAATAGGACCAACTTAGACCCATATGAGAACGTTTTGATTACGTCCTATTTGTAACATTATGTGACCATAAGATTACCATTGCGGAACGTCTCCCTAAAGTCCTATAAGGAACGTTATAATATGACCAACTTAGACCCATATGAGAACGTTTTGATTACGTCCTCTTTGTAACATTGTTATGTGACCATAAGATTACCATTACGGAACGTCTCCCTAAAGTCCTATAAGGAACGTTATAATATGACCAACTTAGACCCATATGAGAACGTTTTGATTACGTCCTCTTTGTAACATTGTTATGTGACCATAAGATTACCATTGCGGAACGTCTCCCTAAAGTCCTATAAGGAACGTTATAATATGACCAACTTAGACCCATATGAGAACGTTTTGATTACGTCCTCTTTGTAACATTGTTATGTGACCATAAGATTACCATTACGGAACGTCTCCCTAAAGTCCTATAAGGAACGTTATAATACGACCAACTTAGACCCATATGAGAACGTTTTGATTACATCCTCTTTGTAACGTTGTTATGTGACCATAAGATTACCCTTACGGAACGTCCCCCTAAAGTCATATAAGGAGCGTTATAATATGACCAACTTAGAACCATATGCGAACGCTCTGATTATGTCCTCTTTGTAAAGTTGTTGTGTGACCATAAAATAACCAATATGGAATGTCGCCCTAAAGTCCTATAAGGGAGGTTATTTTTATGACCAACTTAGACCCATATGAGAATGTTCTCATTAAGTTAGTCACAAAACGTTCTCATATGGTCAACAGAGAATCATATGGGAATGTCCTTATTCTGTCCCCTTTGTAATGTTGCTATGTGACCATAAAATAACCAATATGGAATGTTCCCCTAAAGTCACATAAAGAACGTCATTGTATGACCAACTTAGACCCATATTAGAACGTTTTGATTACGTCCTCTTTGTAACGTTGTTATGTGACCATAAGATTACCATTACGGAACGTCCCCCTAAAGTCCTATAAGGAACGTTATAATAGGACCAACTTAGACCCATATGAGAACGTTTTGATTACATCCTCTTTGTAACGTTGTTATGTGACCATAAGATTATCATTACGGAACGTCTCCCTAAAGTCCTATAAGGAACGTTATAATATGACCAACTTAGACCCATATGAGAACGTTTTGATTACGTCCTCTTTGTAACATTGTTATGTGACCATAAGATTACCATTACGGAACGTCTCCCTAAAGTCCTATAAGGAACGTTATAATATGACCAACTTAGACCCATATGAGAACGTTTTGATTACATCCTCTTTGTAACGTTGTTATGTGACCATAAGATTATCATTACGGAACGTCTCCCTAAAGTCCTATAAGGAACGCTATAATATGACCAACTTAGACCCATATGAGAACGTTTTGATTACGTCCTCTTTGTAACATTGTTATGTGACCATAAGATTACCATTACAGAACGTCTCCCTAAAGTAATTTAAGGAACGTTATAATAGGACCAACTTAGACCCATATGAGAA